TACCTCTCAATTTTTCATTCTTTTTTTTTTCAAATCAAAATCGGACATTTCTAATAACAAATAAATATTTTGTTGAATTTAGAGTGGCTTTGTGACTTGAAGTAAATTAATTTGCTCTTGGATTAAATATTTCTGTTTTGTAACGAAAATACACTTTTGAGACGTTTTTTTACTATTATCAAGTAATTATTCTCTAGCGTCTATAGGGAGAGGATCGTTTTGTTGGATTTAATAAATTTGTCTTCATAAAAAGAATTTTGTCTTTTTCTAAGTAATCTGTTTTTACCGTGTATATATTTAAAAAAAATTAAATAAAACGAGAAGATTAAGGTATTTTTGAAAATGGTTAATTTAAATACCATGAAAGCTTCTTATATAAAGTGTATGGTATGTATTTACATAGGGCGCACTATAAGTTTCCGGAACAGGCCACTTACATAAACAATATTTAAAAAGTAATTACAACATTGGAAAATGGAACTCTTTGGCTGTAGAATACAGTTTCTTTCGTCTGACTGCCACTTGTTTTTATATTGTGACGTTATTTTGGAAATTGGTTGTCTACATCACTATGGATTTAACTCGTGAAAATTTTCGTAGTATGATTTTCTATGACTTTAAGTGTAATTTAACAGCGGAGCTTCGCTCGGCTTCAAACTGCTTATGGCGATAAAGCACCATGCAAGACGACTATTTATAGCTGGTGTGCAGAATTCAAACGCGGTCGTGTGAATCTCAGTGACGAATTTCGTGATGGTCGCCCGTCTACTGCTGCGAACAACAAAATGATCGATGCTGTGCGCCGTATGATTAAACAGACAGGCATGTGACATACCATGAGATTCGGGCTTCTTTAGGCACAAGCATGAGTCAAATACAATCAATGCTACACAAACATTTGGGTGTGAAAAAGCTATGCTCTCAGTGGATCCCACACAATTTGACTGAGGCTCAAAAAACGGATCGCGTCCCATGGTGTAATGCCATGCTTACCAGATGCAACGAAGGGGCGTCAAATTTGGTGTGGGATATAGTAACAGGTGACGAAACATGGATTTATTACAATCCCAAAACACAGCACCAATCTAGCGTATGGATTTTTCGGGATGAACCGAAACCAACCAAAGTGGCGCGCGTGCAAAGTGCCTCGAAGCGGATGATTGCTTCTTTTTTTAATAAAACGAGAATCGTTGTGCGGTGAATAGTGATTGGTACACGACCACTTGTTTGCCGGAAGTTATTGGCAAACTCCGTAAAAATAACCGTAAACGCCTTATCGTCTTGCACCACGATAATGCCAGTTCTCATACGGTCCGACAGACAAATGAATTTTTGAAGGTGAACAACGTTGACCTTATGAACCATCCCGCGTACAGTCCCGACCTGGTACCTTGTGATTTTTATTTATTTCCAAAAATTAAGAACCAGTTACGCGGTCAACGCTTTTCATTACCTGAAGAGGCTGTCGAAGAGTATGAAAAATATGTTTCAGAGATTGTCACGGAGGAGTGGCATAAATGTTTTCAAAATTGGTTTATTCGTATAAAAAGGGCATTAACGCTAACGGAGAATATTTAGAGCAACAATAAATTCATTTCTGACCATTTATAATATATTTTTTTATTCATTCCGGAAGCTTACAGTGGGCCCATGTATAACTTAACTATTATTTTTATGAGAAAAACAACAAATATTTAAACACTTCATAATTCAGAATTCATTTCTTTTGCCTTTGTTTCGTCTGAAAGCAGGATATTCATTTCAAATATCATATGCGTGTCCCTACGCCTCTCAACCAAAACTTTGTAACTTTCTATGTTGTTTTCCTACACAAAAATATAAATAATCAATTACATGTCAAAGTGAATGTTATTAATTTCACTTGGTTATCAATATTGCCAAATCTGGTTTTAATTTAATTGAAACTTTGTTCTTTGTGACCTTTTATATTCTATAACTACAAAGTTTTGGATGACGTGTTTGCTGGGGGAAGGCGCATGCGACCAGTGAGACTCCCTAAACACTATTTTAGAAAGACCTATGCCCAACAGTGAAATGTATATAAACTGATGCAATGCACTACAATATGAACGATAATTTGATACCAATAATGATGTAGTACGCTTGTAAAATATATAGCGTTATAAATGCAAGATTACATGTATTACCGCTAGATGGGGCACTAGGTTTTTATAATCAATACATTGTTTTTTTCTTAAACTTTATTACTTTGCAAATCAAATAACATATCTGCAGAATATTCCAGATATGAAGTTCAAAACTGAATTTATTTCAATAAAGGGAAAGGCCAGATCATTTGGTGACAATTCGAAACTTGTAATGCCTTCTGGATATGTTAAACTCTGAAAATGTTTACCTGCGCCTCTTTTATCTTATTGTAAAAAAAAACTAATTTTATTTATCTATATGTAGGAATTGACTTACAATTATATGGACGTCGGGTCCGCGCTAAAAAGTGTCCGCACTTGTAAGGCGCTAAAATCGTATACAGAGCGCGACACTCCGCTTTAGTCTTCATTTGTTCTACTGACAGCGCGATACTGCGATGACATTACAATTTAAATTTCGAATAGGTTGACTTGGGACATTTTTTTCGTGGTTTTTGTATTAGACCCGTCGTCCATTTATTTGTAAGTCAATGTATGTAGGCCAAAAGATTAGACATTATAAAACACATGAAATAAACGAATGAGTAAATTGAAAATAAAAGTCACATTAATTGCAACGCGAGAATAGTTAAGTAATCACTTTTTTCATCAATAAACTACTTCAAAATTTTTAAATTATCTGATGCAAATTCGTTGTAATTTGGTGCAAACGAAAATCGATCTATGGTCTACCATGTCCTTCCTTTTTATCCAGTTATGTGTGACCTTCAAATACCAGCCAATTGAAAACTAATCCGACGTCAAGTTTATATGGAATTCTGAGCTATTTATGGATATTTTTATTAACTCCGCGTTTAGCCAATAATGGAATTTAAAATTAATTATTTTTGTTTAATGATTCGTGTAAGTATTTTATTAGGAATAAACAATTATATTAGAGAATAACTTAATAGCAATTTATAAAGGAACGAAATTGTATTAATTGCATTATATTTGCTTATAATGATTAAGTAAATTATCTTTTCAAATTGGCTCAAACGCTGTCCGCTACAAGCCAATAAGTTCGTAATAAGTTTTTTTCAATGTCACAGATTCAAAAATGGATCTTTACAAATTAAAACCCTAATTTAAAAACAAAATGAATGCATTGATTCCCCAAAACGAATATACCTAATAGTTTGTCAAATGAAAAAACGAAATTTCGTCACATGTCACTTTCGTAGCGCGATTTGAACATTTCATCTTTTATTTGGTCTTAATTTGAACAAAAGTAATTAGTTTTCACATCAACACAAAACAGGTAACGCCAGACTTTTGGACTCTATCACTTTCGCAGACGGCTTAAACTTCCGTAACTTCTAAAAGGGCCCCAGTCAACACTCGTGTTGCCCTTGTAAAACATATTAGTAATTAGGCGAAGCTTTGACTTCGCGGGCGCCACAATTGCCGAAAAATCGTCCGCGCAATTTCGGCGACGCAAATCTAATTCTACAGTTGTAGTACAGTGATAAATCCTATACGTTTGTTACACAAATGTAACCGTTGGTCATTTTCCCCCATTTTCATTGAAACTTTATTAAGTTAATGCACAAGTACATCTTATTAGTAGGTAATAAAAAATATAATACCTATTTTGTTTTATGGTAAAATAAAACAAAGTGCCTACCCAATCCACGCGGCCACATTTAGTCGTGTGTACTTTTATTGTTACTTCGATTTATGGTTCAATTTGAAATGGAAAATTTTGTAAACTCTTATACATTCAACTTGTGGACCACTGTACTTAACTAGTTATTTATAGCCGACTACATTTTCTGTTACAGTAATATTTAAATGTAGTAATTTTAACATGCGTTCGATAACTTCTTTCTCTAAGACTCGAAACCGCATCGTTGAGCTTACAAGCTGGGCATGTTAACACTGCGCTGTAACGGATTTTTAAGTGAATATTTTTTTTTGTTCTTGTAATTACTCTTTAGCGTAAAAGAAAGTTGGTAGCTTTATTGTTCCGACCTACATTATAGATAAGTTACAATATCTGGTGTTCTGGTGTCTTATGTTCCAGAAGAAACCAATATTATAGTCTTAAAACACATAAACACGGCTGAATTATAAATGGGTGCTTCGAAAATTATTTACAGCAAAGATGTAAACTTCTTCGCATAAATATTTTATTTTGGTAATTTTACCAACCAACAAATTAGTAACTGTAATTAACCTAATTAAAATTGGATACGGAACGATTGTGTGAAACTATTCGGAACTTTAAAACGTTCGGCTTTTAATAAAGATAATAAATTAAATAGTATACATTTAATATGTTTTTTGTGAAATTTTAGTCACATGTTTACCGCGGACTTTTCTTGACAGACCATAAACAAAAAGCGATCGTCTTGGGCACTTACTTTTTAAAATAATTTGTGTTTTTGGAACCTTGGGGGAGACGCGTTACAAAGGCTTATGAAAATTGACGTAACATTTTAACCGAGACGTAGGTATTATATTCATTGTGGACACACAAAGAGCCTGCCATTGTATCAAAAGCAATATTTTCTCATTAGCATAATAAAGTATAAAACAGTTCAAAATACGAAATACCATACGGAATGGAAAGTTTGCAAAGCGAGGGTGCGGGGGCGGAAGGGCGCGCGGAGGGTGGGGGACGAACGGCGGGAAAACTTTTGCGAGAGCGGCGTGACCGCGCGGGGTTGCAACTTGAAAGCGAGTACTCACCCTTTCCTCCTCGCGGATCATCTCTGCGATCCCGGGGCGGATATCGCCGTCGTCGGAGTGCAGCGGCGGCATGGCCGGGGCGTGCGTCGGCGGCGTGGCCGGCGGCACGATCAGGTCGACCCCGCCGGCGGGAGTGCTGGGCGACCGCCGCGGGCTCGGGCCCGGGCTGCGCTCCGAGGACACTCGTCTCCTGGCCTTGGCGGGCGACTCGGCCTCGCGACTCACGGGTCTTTTGGGCGCTCGGGGCTCCATTCCGCCCGGCCTCAGGACGGCGTGCTCGCCGCTCACGTCGGTCAGCCCCCGGATTTTGAGGGTCTCCGCCACTTTTAACAGCGCCGTGATTTGATCTTGTGACACATTTATCTCGCCGCGATACATGAAATCGACCACAGCCTTCAGGTCGCAGTACTTTATGTCGCGCATAATTATTATCGGATGACGACACGGGTTGTCCATAAACAGAGACTGAAAATAGGGGCTGCACGCGGACAGAACAACTTTGTGCGCCTTCAAACTTTGTCCTTCACACGCTAGAGTCACATCGACGAACGATTCCGTCTGGAGAAGTTGGTCAAAACAATTTGCCAAGTTACTCTGGTAGTTGTTCCACCTCAGGCAAAATTGTTGGGGGGATCCGTCGCTGTCGCGGCTCTCCATGGCCGCGGGTTCCTCTTCGGCGGGCATGGTTTTAGCGGCTACGGTCTCGCATCTGCAACGTAACGCGTTCGAGTGACAATACACAGCACATGCGACGAGAGCGACGACTCGCGAGGCACTGAGTCGGCCGTCGGCGTGTGGCGGGGGGCGACGCGGGGGCGGCGGAGGCGGGGCGGGGCGCGACGGCGGTCGGCCGGCGAATAGTCGCCGCGCGCCGCCTTCGCCGCCACGCCCCCGCGCGCGCGGCGCCGCCACCCCGCGCCACCGCTGCACCCCGCATCGACCACCCTCATCTGCGCCCGCGCAACTGACCACGGCATTACATGCTAACGTTACTCCGTGCCCTATCGCGTGACGTACCCGTCATGAGAAAATAATTAAAAATGTTAACAGTTTTAATGAGATATTTCAATTAACACAGCAGTATTAGGTACAATTTTTATTGGCCATTCAAATTGCTCTTAAATAATTTCAAATGCTAAATATTTTTTGTTAATTATTCACGCGTTGCTGCATTGTTCACAGTGTGGTTTCTAGATAAAGGCACTATTATAGAGTAATTATTACTTTTGAAACAATACCTATGGGTACCTACTCGACTCAAGAACTAATTTCTAAATAATTATAATTGATGGAATAAAATTGCCAATGTACTTTGGTATTACAATATGTGGACTTACCTAATACTTTTGCAAATTACAAAACTCCCGTTAAATTCGTGCCTAATTCATGTTATATGAATAAAATTGGGTCCCCGCGGCAATATGCCCAAGTAGCTGGCAACTGTCCCCCTTTGTATGGCTATGTTAATGCGTTGGGCAAGGTAGCTGCCGGCTCTTGGGTTTCTCAGTTTAAAAATTTTGTACAGATGAAGGGCACCGAGATCAAAGGCTGTAAATAGGTAGTCGTAGCCGAGTTCCTGGTACTTATTAGGTACTCTTTATTGTATAAATTCAATACTTAAAATTGCCTGTGACAAAAAATAATGATAGGTAGCTCATTACCTATAATTGAGGCTGAAAAAAGTAAACTGTGTAAAACCATAAGGAACTTTAGCCATAAAGAGTACCTATATAAACTTCGACATGGAATTTAATACAACATGCTTTGCAACGACGTCGAAATTGGCGGACGGAATCGAATTTTATTTATTGTGTTGCCAGCTTTTGATGCAATAAAAAAGTACCTATTGTCCAAGAGACGGTGATCGAATCACCGAATGACGCATTCAGTAGGTCATTATCACTTATAAACGTCGCCATTTTGATTAATTCTGTTTCACTGCATTGAGTGAGCTGAACCAGTATAATGAACAATAAATAAATGGTAACATTATTTTTGAAAGTAGATTGCCACTTTAGTGTTACTAATGTTTAAAAAATTCCGACTTCACAGATCGCCTGGATTTTTTTGTTAAAAAAATTATGAAAAATTGAATATTGAAAAAATGCAGAAAAATAAATTGAATATTCTTTTTTCTATAGGAAGCCTTTTGCAACATGCGACAACTTTTGCATCATAAGTTTTTTTTATGATACCGAGTGAAGAGACGAACAAAGCCAGTCCTGTCCATAACAGAGACTTACGTACAGAGCTTTGAATCGCAAATATCTGAGAGGCATTCCCACTGAGCCCCGAGACGAGAGTTAATAAGTCTCATGTGCCTGTAATTTCCCCACCACCCTTACCCTTCAAAACCGGAACGCAGTAATACCCACATAAATGCTTGGCGGCAGAAATAGGTAAGGTGGCAGTACTTCCCACACACACAAGGAGGTCTACCGTCTACTGAGTTGGTTTATTGAGATTTATTTGCCACAAAGGGTGCCTTCAATTTCCCTATTTCTCTTTCCTCTAATCCCACAAATGACACTTCCTCAATTGTCTGTTACTTAGAGGTTTATTAAGAGCAAGTCTGTTTTCATGTTGTAAGTTTCTGTCGTTATAGAGTGTTTGACAGTAGATTACCGTGTCAAACCAAAACACTGCAATATCAGAAACATTTTGTGAAAAAGCTGCGTACGGGGGTTTTTCGATTCTTTGTAATTTTTCAGATTATAACATTTAACTTACGTTGTATACATTAGATATAAAAGAAATCGTTCTAGCTATTATAATTTTACTTTGGATAGTGAGTTATTTCTATTGAAAACGCATTTTTTTTCCCCTAATTAACAGCGAAAGATTCTTGTTGTTATGAAATTACAAAACACTGTATTGAACCTTGCCGTTTTGATTTGATACGACAGAATGTCCTTTTTTATTGTTCAAATTTTATTTGAGCCGCGACAAATGTTAGTAGACCCTGTCCTGAGACATTTGCACGATCTGAGTCTTCAATAACTCAGGCGTCTCGCAACACTATTGCATTCCGCGCGCGTAAATTATCAAACCAGAAGACTGTATTGCCGCGTACAGTGTTACGTCAAAATAATTTCTAAGTTTCAAATTTTATAATGTATTTTAGTTTTTAATATGAAAAGTCCAGGGAAAGAATGATCAAAGTGACTTGAGAAGAATTTTAGTAAAAAATAATTTATGATTTGAAAAACTTTTAAATATTGATGGAAAGACACGCACCAATACTACCTGAAATAAAGTAAATGCGGACATAAATGTATGTAACGCTATGTAATGCGTTTTAACTAAAAATATTTATTAATATTTTTTTTCATCATTTAGTCGCAAGCATTTTTACGACTAAAAGTAAATGAAATTTCTTCAGGTCTTTGAACCACTTTAGCCTTTTTCTGATATAGGCAAATTATGCACTGTGTTTACCGAACTGGATGACACTAGTAACTTAAAACGTGTTTTAGGTGACTTAGATCATTCTTTCCCTGGTCTCTTCATATCTCATTCATAAACACGAATACCTCCATAGCTGAAATGTCTGGGCATAGATTAGGCCTAGAGAAATCATATGAGCACTGTTAAATCAAAGCTCTGTACAAGACATTACAGTGTGTTGGTTTGACACGGCAGTAGAGTCAATGAATAACCGTAACTTTTTTTTAATAAAAAGAACTGTCCTCGAAAACTTGTTACTCAATGTTAACTGAAAAGCATGTGGAAGTTGCTGCTGCTGGTTATGCTTATGCAATCAATTGAATTTAAATTTGAACTTGCTTTGTTTGATTCATCATTATTCGTTCAAATGCAGGGTACAGGTCTATTTATACTCCGTCCAACTATTCAATGAACGTTTGACATATGCATGCCGCCGAAGTTCCGTAATTATGACATACAAACATGGACAAAGAATGCAATATTTCCTGGAATCTTTTTTTTTTATTGTAGTGAAGTCACGTGGTCTTTATTTGCGATATTTATCGAGTGTACGATTATGTAACGAAGACGATTCAAGTTGATCAATTTTGGTGCTTGTCTAATAAATTATAATGAAATGAAATAATTATAATAAATAGTTATTGTTTATTATAATGATTTGTCGGATTCACGGGAATCCTCACCTGAATTCTCATTAACATGATTTATTAATTCTTGAGTACACAAATTGTCAAACGCAACGTCACGATCCCAATAAGACAATCTCTTTTTTGAACTGAGCTGGTTCAACAATTCACGATTAAAACGTCTTCATAAGTAATAACTGTTCTGACTTCACTAATTGATTAGAATTCGAGCTGTCAAAAGTTAAGTAAAAGGTTGGGTGGAGTTTAAATAGCCAATTTTTTGTCATTTACATACCTATGTACATACATAAGCTGCGTTAGAACTATGTCTATGAAAAATACATGAGAGGCGTATTTCAAAGCTTTTCATTTTAATTTAATGTACATACTTAATCAAATCCGCCTGTCGTACTGAATAAATATTGATTTCGATAGTAGGCCAACTCTCAAAATAAGAATAAAGACGGCAATAACGCAATTACAATACCACCGGCACGCTATGATGGCCGTTTTGATAGATTACAATAGAGAGGTGAAATCTCGATTCATTATCGAAAAAAATATAATCAAATGCGATATGTAAGTGTTTAGATTTATAACTAGTACTGCAAGGGGTAGCTCATTAAAAAGTATTAATAAAACGAAAATAAAAATGTTTTCAATTCGAAACTGCTTCGTTCTGCATTAAGTTTTGACGCGAGTTTGCCGGAGGTAGAAGTTGTGCTGCACAGCGATCTTATAAGTGACGAAAACAAATGCCGAGTTGTGTCGTCAAATTATACATCCATGAATTTTACTGCACGTCATTATTGACAACAATGTTCAGCAATTAGCTCCTTTGACGTAGTTATGAATTAATACGAAACCTGATAAACGGGCAAACGTCAAAAGTACTATAGTAATCATTAGAACGTCGTATTATTCACAACTTATGTCTAAGTTTTATTTTTAGCAAAATTTTGCTCTCTTTCATCTGCCTATAAAACTGTCGACAACAACTACATGACTACATATTAAAAATTTTATGAAAACTGGCAACCTGGCAAAAGATATACATATTGAAATTAATTATTAATAAGTATAGTACCTACATCTGTATTGTTTTATACGTGAAATTATATAGGTAACGTGTGTGTACTGTGTTGTAAATTTATTAACGTATAAAACAATTTTCTTTTTTTCTTCTTTCATAAACAGCGGCTTACACACTGTTGAAGAGTTCCTCTAATTTGTCTGCAATTTCCGTAATAAAATTAGCTCTAGGCCATCATATCATTAGAATTACATCTATGTCAAAGTCAAAGTCAAAGTCAAAGATTATTTATTCCATAGGTAAAATAAATTTACACTTGAAAACGTCACATTTAAGCTACTGCTCGTTCACTACGCTGACCTCCCTGAGAAGAACGAGCAAGAAACTCTAAGGATTGCTCTTTTCAAATAAACTTAAATGCTATGGAATACACTTTGAATCAAATTTGTGTGAATTCTGGAGCCATGTCGTCTTTCCATACATCTTTATCTAACACGTAGTCTTCAATTTTGTAATATATGATTTTTCGATCAAAATATTTTTAATGTAGTTTTTAAACTTAGGAAATGATAAACTTAATAAATGCTTCAGAATCTTATTGTAAAGACATATACAGTTCCCCATAAATATATATATAATATGTATAACATGACCATTATTTTTTCCCTCAGA